ACATCTCTGGTCCCCAGGGTAATTTACTGTTCCAAATAGATTAAAAAACATGAAATGAGCAAAAATTGTGATTCATGCATAGGATTATGTACAATGTAAGATCAACATTTTCTTTCGCCATTGTGTTGTTTTGTGTTTTATATAATTTATGTGTTTTTGTGAACAGCGTTTGCCCTTCCCAAACCCACATATTCCACGACAGTGAATAGTGCTTCACCTTTAAAGGTTGAGGTGCGAGCTCTAAACGTAGCGAAGAAGACACAGTTACAAGACAACGCTACTGAGCAGACTTCTTGAGCAACTCATTAGGAAAGTACATGGACCGTATGGGGATACTAATAAAGATGATAATTTGAATTGCGGAACTACAAAAACCAAAATGCAAATATGATCTTTGCAGCTGTGATGTACTGGATCGAGATACAGAGAATTTTGTTGGGATGGGGGACGGGGGATTATACGCGTGGTCGTCGTCACATTGCGTTGTTTGGTTCTCTTCTTCTGTGAAATTAAACACTTTATTTTAGAAGTCGAATTTCTTATAAAGACTTGCGCTGGTAACTCGAGCGCTAAAATTTGTTACTTCTTGAGAAAATCAAGTGTGCAGGCAAAGGAAACTTGTTGTGAAGGTATTTTCTATCGGATTTTAGTGGGAGAGAAGTTTTTTTTTTAAGTACCGAGAACTGAGCTATTTGTAAGATACGCATATAGTGCCCGGTCGATAAAGTTCAATTTAAAGGTACCCGAAATTACGTAGTTTTTTGTTTAAGTAAAGTTCTAAAACGAAAACAAGAAAGACGGCTTTTCTGTCGTCTTAAAATGAATTCAACGATACGTTCTCGCCGAAAACCAATTAACAACAATTTTTCTTTGTTTGCAAACACTCCATAATATCTCTATGAAATCTGAATATTGTCCTTTTGAAGTATGAATAAGTACATATAATAATTTAGATTTATAGCGGGGCTCCCGCGCGCGCGAAGCGCGCGTGGGACAGAGCCCCATACTCATGGAATATGGTCAACCTCTTTTCGTTTGGTTGTCACGTGATTGACCGAGCGTACGTACGTACGTACGTACATACGTACGTACGCGTCTACAGATTGTACGGGTGGGGTAGGGAAGACTATCAAAAGGAAGGGAGGGGTGTCTCAGGGGTGTGTTGGCAAGTCCACATCGTTAATATAGGATTTTAGTATAGGACATTCACAATATGGTCAATTGACAGCTGTCAAAACAGGATTGCCACTGACCAGTATCCCATGAGCATATCGTGGGCTCATGTGTCAATTCATCGAGGTGACGTGATTTATTTGGAAGCTGTCCGCTGACCAGTTAATTGTTTTACTAGATCGCGAACAATGTTCAATCTCTAACTAGTTAAACTGATAATGCACACATATTTGACATCAATATTTTGATCAATTGACAGCTGTCAAAACAGGGTACCCGCTGACCAGTATCACTTGACCGTATCGCGGGCTCAGGTGTCGACCCATCGAGGTCAAGTATTTTTTTGAAGCTATCCGCTGACAAGTTACTAGTTTTAAAGTGATCGCAGGCTCAAGTTCATTTTTTTCTAAATTCATATGAAATAATTATGTTGTGCTTATGTGCTGCACAATTAAAATTTTGATTGCAAACTGACCTCGGACGCGAAAATTCAGCCAGCTGTTACAGGCAGGGAAGACAGTTGGTTTTGACTTTTCTCACCATGGTCACGCGTTGGTCACGCTCTACGTCCAATTTTTATGCTCTGATTGGTCAAAATTTGACAGGTGAGTTCATGCGGAAAATTTATGCAGCATCTTGAATCTTGTGTACTTTGACCGCTGAAGCTGACAGAGTTTTGTGTCAACTTGTGATGTTTTTAACTGTCTTTTTCCACTGGATGTGCGAAATGAAATTCAGCTGCTATCAGGAGTCTTCTGTTATTCATGGCTAGTTTGTTTATTGGGTTTTTGGTTGAGGAATACGTCGCGTGTCAAAGTCGGAAATCGGATTTCGGATGGCATCGTTTTCGTTTTCACCTTGCTTGATGCGTAAGAGGATTGCAAAGTCTGAAGCGATACTGGCTTTTCTTGATACCTTTCTGGAGCTGCATCTCGAATGGTAAGCCAGAGAAATTATTGTATTTGATGTTTGTTTTTTGTATCTAATTTAATGAAGTCGAGCGTAGTTTATGCGGGCATTTAGTTTATGCACGTTTGTAAGATTTGAGACAATGATCTGACCGAGTATCAGGTTTGATATAAGCTTACAGAACTTTAAAAAGCCTTTAGACAGTTTCTCACCGCAAATAGAAAGAAAACGTTCCAAAGAATATTTAGTTATAATTCTGGCCGGAAAAGAAAGCTTTGAGCGATTTTCTTGCCTCGAGTTCGTCTTTGAAAAAAGCAAACACCGGGAAGCCGGCTTAAAACATAAACTAAAGCTTGAAGCTTGAAGACTCAGGATTTTTAGGGACACTTAAATACTTGTCTTCCTGAATGAAAATTGTTGTCTCTGTATATGTTTCACCGAATTATATTTCTTTTATTGATTGTTAGTAGTCTCTCGTGTAATTTAATCGCTGTGCCGATTGTTTTCAGTCGTTCAGTGAACATCGCTTGCAGGAGTTATTTAACTCAAAATGCCGCGCGTAACTCTGTTAATGTTTATTCAAACACTCGCCACAGCTCACACTACAAAAGTGAGAACCGGATGGCCGTATAGGTGATTTTGGAAATTTTTTTAACAGTTTATGAATATTGAATGAGTGCAATTTGTATTGTGAAATACTGCTTTCTGTCCGAGGTCTGCCGGTATGATAAAAACAGTGCCTCATACTACCGTTTCACCTCAGATGTGATGTATAAATGGTATAAAAGGACTTGGTTTACACGCACCCAGATTTGTTGACAAGATTTTGCAAAGTAAACTTGTCGAACGCAAAAAAGTTGGCCTGATTTTTTTTTCCACTAATTAATCTACGGTGATCAAGAGCCATTATGGCTCTTAAATGTGATCGAAGATGATTACCAGTTTTTAAGTGTACATATGAAGCTATCAACTCAATGTAAGATTTGGTTCACTCTTGGGCTGTTTGCAAATTATTTTTCTCTAAAATCAGGTAGCCTTTCCCTCAAAAGTCACATAAATGTGCTCTAAAGTTAACTGAATTGTGGAATTCGAATACAAGTTTATTGTTTAATTTAAATTATAAATTTATTAATGGGAGCCTCGCTTTTAGCCCTGGCTAAATCTATATATTATTATGAACATGGAAAGGCTTTTTAACTCACCCTTAGAAGAAGGATATACTAGTATAGGTGGTCTGAATTATAACGTGACTGTTGATGTAATATTTGCCCCCCTCCACTGTCGGACTCCCTGTTCCAAGTTTGGTTGATTGCAAAAACTATTCTGTTGCTTCTGAATGCGAAGGAAGAAGCAAGGGAAGAAACTTTAAAACAAAAAGCAGAGCTATAAAGACCTGGGAGTTTTTTAAAAAGGAACCTGTCTTTATCGCACTGCTGTACAGTAAACGTGTCCCTGTTTGTTGTTGATGTTTGTGCTCGTGAAAGTGTAAGTAGAGTATGTAGTTAATAATGTAGATTTAAGTAGGCAACAGAGAAACTTTGTCTCTTTTCCCCTTCTAATCATTGTGTTCTCTCCCCCCACCAAACCAGACTTGTTTTGTTCAGAAATTAGCTTGCAGAGAAGAAAGCACTGCAAACTTAAACAAATTGTATATTGACTCGAAAAAAAAGAAGAAAAACGGATCTTAATTTCCGTGGCATGCAAGATTTCGTGCCATGTCCCTTGGAATGTTAGTTTGTTTAGAACGGGTTTCAGTGATGTGTCGAAAAGTAATCTCCAGAATATCCTATCTGCACTCAACTCCTTGTGATTGGTTAAAATATATCGTGTCAATTTCTCTTCCCGCCTTTTGGCAACCTTCCGTCCAGTCTTTTGTGATTGGCTAAAGAGGGTTGTACGTCACTTCAGTGAATACCGTTCTAACAATGTATGCATGATCAAGACTGCTGTAGTAGATCTTGTGTCTGTTCCAGAATGTGGAAAGCAGACTGCCAAATGTACTTTCAGAAGTATGCCCCAAACCCTTCCCCAGTTAGTGATTACAACACTTGATATCAGAGTAACTATGTAGAGCTTTAAGCCGGAGCTGCCATATTAAGTTTTATGTCAAAATAAACTATTACTCAGTAGTTCGTGTACAGTCACAAAATGTGTTGTGCTTCTGCCCCTTCGTTTCTGGCGATTAAATCAACCGTCGCTGAAGAAAACCGTGGAAAAGAAACTTGGCCTCTCTTCCCGCTTCCCCGAGAAACCTGGGAACGAGATTGACTTATGTACGCAAATGTATACCATGACGGCACGGTACGGTGAACTAGCTTGGCGTGTTGCACGCTAGGTATCGTGTCAGCCTCGCCAGGTCAACTTGTGTCTTCATATTTACCTGTAACCTCTGATTTGTTCTTTCAGCATATGCCTGGCTGACCGACGCACCCAGTAGTTAGGAAAATGGTTATCCTGGGTCAACAAAATTGCATTTCTGGGACAAATAAAATTCCAGAATATGCAAGGGAATTTAAAAATGAATATCTTTAAATAAGAGGGATAAATAAGGAAATGGAAAGTTTTGTAGAAAAATATCTTACCGAAACTACTGAACTTTTTGTTTCTAGTTATAATGACTGAATTAAGTCTTTTATAAAAAAAATTATGAAAGAACAAGAACTTGGTTATCTTAATGATACAAGTTGTTTTAAATTTAAAGAGTGTGATGTTGAAAATATATTTTTTTTATTTGAAAGAATGCTTTTTGATTTTGAGGAAGATGAAGAATTTGTTGATGGTCATCCTGATGATTATACAGGATATAGAGATTTTTATGAGTTGTTTTGTAAATTTTACGATAAAATAAAATTTGATAGTGATTAATTATAACTTAAACATTTACGTTTTATAATATAATCTTAATATTATAAGACGTCATGTCTAACCAATCAACTGATGCTTTCCAAGGTTCTCAACCTTTTATAACAGATAAACAATTTCAGAATTTATCTTTGGATGAAATAAGACATATTATTGAAGAAGAAAAAGAAGAACTTAAGAAAGATTATAAGGAATTAGGAGAAAGAAGAAAATTAATTAAACAATATAAAAAATTAAAAGAAGCTAGAGAAAAAGTGAAAAAAGGAATTGATATAAAAAAAGTCTCTTCTAAAAAGAAAGCCCCTTCTGAAAAGAAAAAGATAAAATCATTTGACGAGTATTTTGAGGAATGTATAAAACATAGACAGATCCCCAAAGATACTCCTCCTTATTTTCGTGAAGCTCTTGAGCGAGCTATTTTAGAATATGATCAAGGACTTGAAAAAGAAAAATCAGCTTTTGAAGATTTTGCTGTTAAGTATATTATTAAAGGAATTCCTGGTTTTTCTCCACTTGAGTATTTTAGACAAATTTATAAAAATTTAAAAGATTTTTTTACATATCATCGAAATATAAAATTTAAGATGATTTTGGTTTGTTTAATGGAAAAACAAAAAATTGAAAAAGATAAGGGAGTTGTTGGATTAGAAGAAGATAAAGCATACTTTACTTCAGGAACACTTATTAATATTATATCAACAGATGTAGATAAATTAATTGAGTTAAGTATAAATACTATTGAAGGAGGTATAGAAGCATATCAACAAAATGGAAGTGCATGGTATTTTAAAGAAGTGTATAAACTTGAAATTCATATTGTTGAATATAATCCAACAAAAGGATCATCTTGCATTCCTCTTCCGGATTGGATATCAAATAAAAAAGCAATTGTTAATATTAAAAACAAAGATGAAAAATGCTTTCTTTGGTGTATACTTAGATATCTTCATCCAAAAGAAGTACATGAAGAAAGACTAACAGATTTAAAAAAGTATGAGTTTTCACTTAACACCAAAGGAATTACTTTTCCTATGAAATTAAAAGACATCACCAAGTTTGAAAAACTTAATCCATCTCTTTCAGGAATCAATGTTTTTTCAGTTAATGAAAGTAAAAAGTTTTATCCTTTGAGAATGGCAGAGAGAGATTGTTTAAATACTATTGATTTATTTTTGTACGAAGAAGATGGTGTTTCACATTATTCACTAATTAAAAATTTTACTCGTTTGATTAAGACGCAAAAAACTGCAAGTAAGAATGGTACAATATTTATTTGTAAGAAGTGTTTTACACATTTCACTAAGGATGAATTATTACAAAAACATATTATACATTGTTCAAATAATGAAACGGTTTGTGTAAATATGCCTAAAGAAAATACAATGTTGGGTTTTAAAAATTACTACAAACAACTTCCAATCCCTTTTGTAGTTTATGCAGATTTTGAATGCTTTACCAAACCAATGAATACTTGCAGTCCTAATCCAAAAGAATCGTATAATTACAACTACCAAAAGCATGAACCCTCAGGATTTTGTTTTTATATAAAAGGAGTAGTAGATACAATATTTGAACCAATTATTTACACAAAAACTAAAGACAGTGATGATGTAGCTAAGATATTTGTTGAAAAACTTGAAAAAGTAACAAATAAGATATATAATGATTTTTATCGTAGACCAATACCTCTTAGACTAACACGAGCCGAACAAAAATCATTTGATGAAGCTGAAACGTGTCATATTTGTAAGAAAGAATTACTGACTGACAAAGTTAGAGATCATTGTCATTTTACTGGCCAGTACCGTGGTGCAGCTCATAACAGTTGCAATCTTCAGTGCCGAAAACCAATGATTCTTCCAGTTATATTTCATAATCTTCAAGGATATGATGCACATTTATTTATAATAGTGGGGCGGATATGTGCATGGATTGTGCGACTTTTGGTTAAAAGCATGAAACTTAGCAAAAGAGTATAACTTCATGGGCCTATCAAATGTGGATATGGAGCCATCGCGAAATATTATGGGTTGTCGAGATTTTGGCAGTATCCAAAATACCCATCAAGTAAAACCGGAAGTGAAAAATTTCAAACCGGAAGTGGTTTTAAAATAGCATATTTTCATTCTCTGAATCGATTAATTTGAATATCGACAGATTAGGGAGATGCATAATGATTATAACTATTGTTTTTTTTTGAAAAAGTTATTAGTTTGCTGTTTAAAGATGGAGGGGGTCGGGGTTTATGTTACTACAATCCACGACAAAGATGCAAACAGTTTCAAACTAAGCTATGATCGTTTTCCTTCGTATTTGATCCTATTCCACTCTACATTTTTAGTTTTTATATCTATGATCAATAAACAGGTTATTTCCTGAATTTTGTCTGACTACAGAGTAATGTTACATTGTTACTCTCTGAAAATCGTATTTCGGTGAATTATTCATCTTTCATCTGTAAATTGCCGTGACTCTATTTATTTTCTTAAGAAATAATAAAGAATGCAACCATTGAAACGTGAATACTTATGTAGTATCACAGTCATCCGTGCAGGTGCAGCGTAAGCCTGCCTTTGTACAGGAACACTATCTTTCCTGACATCCTTTTTTACATCTGCATCGGACTGACGTTTTCGACACGATTTCCTCACGTCAGGTAATGTCCAGAGTGATTCCAAATGCATTCATTCAATGTCCATACCCACTCTTGTGGACTTGGTAATACTGGACTAGGTCCAGCAGTCATCAGCCTGATATGCAGCGCGCTTGGCACGCAGTATTCCAGTAGAGCTGCTCTTGTTGCTAGCTATTGTACTGTAGCAACTGGGAGATGGTAAGACCAACTTCAGACTTAATTGAGACTTCAATGTTAGGACCATAAAGAATCATATTGACGAGAGATACCAGTGATGGTGGAACGGAGTTCACCTAGCAATTCGCTTGAAAAGATCCGTCAAATTTTTTTTTCTGTGTGAACATTTCTTTGCGCATAATGCTTGCGGCTTTGGCAAGATGCATCGCTTCTTCAGCACCGTCTTCCTTTCGAGCTTTCTGCTGCGCGTTGGCAAGATCATTTTGAAGGCCAAAAAAAAGACATCACGTCCTTGCTTGTGTTCTTCAAGAGCTGAAATTTGGGAAAGAATGCGGTCTTTTAGACGTGCAGTATGAATGCGTGCAGCTGTGTTTTCGCCAAGTTGTTTCAAACAGGACGTATACTTACCAACAAGTTCGGCAAGCTCCACAAGCGCGATACCCTCCGGTCGTCGAGGACTTGTCCCATCTCCTTTGCCTTCCCTTTGACTCTCTGAGCCTTTTTATACAGTGATGCTAAACAAGGGGTGTGATATTTATCCTCCAGAGCTACCAAGTCACCCGCGCTTAACTTCGCCAAAAGCTCTGCATCAGTCCTGCAATGCCGTCGCACACTTCCTGACACGAGCATCTAAACCAAATGTTACGACATTGTGAAGAGGGCTCTTACGTTTAGAATACTCTCCACAAAAAAAAGCGTGTACCACTATTGTTGAGAGATGCAGGCGAAACTGAACGTGTATACTATATTTTACACCAACAGGTTGTTCACTTTCAAGCGCATGTTTTTTTTTTCTGCTCGTTTCAACTTCGTAGAATTCAAGAGATCGTAGCAACTTTTGTGCCAGCGTGCTTTGCATCTTACCAACGTATTCTCTAATCCATCACCTTCATCTAGCTGTGAAAGATCTATCTGCATAGGCATGGAATCGTGATCCCTGAACTTTGCTATATTTCCAGCCATGGTCTTGTATCCGAGCGGAATACCGTAAAAGCTCTACTTTGGTTTGCTGGCAAATGGCACATTTAGTCCAATTGGTCTTAGCAATATAGCATCGGGTGTTACCTGTTTATTTCCAGGGCTACTGAAACTTTTCGGCATTTCTTTAGGAATTAAGTTTCTGATGTCAAGAAAAAGAATAAGGTATATACTCAGCCCTTTTTGCATTGCAATACCCGAATGGTTCAAATCGAGCTGACTAAAAGTAATAAAATAAAACAACAACAACGAAAGTACCCAGTAGTACCACCTCAAACATGGTTAATTTCGTTAACTAGAGCTCTACGTTAACTTGAAAAAATACTTATTTCTTTGGATTTGATTGTATTTTTACATCCGTTGACTAAAAATCGGTTACTGGCTCGAACTAGATGTTGAAATTGTACCAAAGTGACTCAGTAAAAGACTGAAAAGTGAAAAACATCGATACCATTTTGAGCACTTTTCTCACTGGTTGCCTCAAATGCAATACCAAAACTCACTTACTAGTCTCCCGCTAAGTCAAACTGTTTTGTTTTTTTTTTTTACTTATTAGTGGGGATCGACAGTATAATATTAGTTAAAGGGTAGGTAGTGACACTCAAACAGATCTGTTCCAATTTTTTTGGCACTTCTTTGTGATAAATTCTTGCGTTCTAAAACACGGAAGTCTCACCCTACAAAGAAAAAAATGGCGGAGCAAGTGTGAATGTTATTAGACCTTTTGCATCATGGGTAATTTAACTCAGGCCACCATGGCTGTTTTGACATTGGCCACCTTCATCATCGGCTATTTCAAGTTTTGGGCTATGTTAAGGAAACTTAACAGAATTCAGTAGCAAGAAACGTCACTCCGAACCGGCCCTCTGCGTTGTGAGAGGGGCTTAACGTAGTGATTAATTGTTTTTAAAATACCTTGATAACCTTGATACAGAAATTACGGCTTCTTAAACAATAACTGTATCTGTTTTCACTTTGTTACTATTACAACGTTCATTGTTTTGCAGTAATCAACTCCTTTATTTTTTATATCATTCCCTTGGCAATTCTGGCATAAGTGTGTAGCACTTCCGGTCTAGAACAGAGTTAACAGAAAACGCTAAAATTCTCCAATTCCATAAATGCTATCTGCTTTATTTCAACAATACATCCTCTTAATCTTTGTAAATAACAATAAATGAACAGATTTTTGAACTTAATAGTTAATAAAAAGCAAAGAAATTCAACTTCCGGCGAATTATTATTTCACTTCCAGTCAAAATGGCTTCCTTTAAAACAAAATCTCCATAACTCGCGTCAGCACCAAAATCCGCGATGGCCCCATATCACAGAATAATCAATGCAACAAAGGCAACATTTTTACCAAGTATGATGCTTTTAACCCAAAAGCGCACAATTCGACTCAAATTATGCATATATCCGCCCCACTATAAAACAACTTGCTTGTTTACCAGGTGAGTTAAACTGTATTCCATCAACAGAGGAAATATATATTTCCTTTTCTAAAAAGATTAAAGTTGATGAGTACAGGTCTAGACGAAATGGAGAAACTATTCCTTTACATTTCGAAATACGATTTATAGATTCATTCAAGTTTCTTCAAACATCACTTGCCAATCTAGTTGGAAATTTACAGCCAGATGATTTCCATAATACAAAACAAGTATTTAAGGAAAATGTTAAACTTTTAACTCGTAAGGGAGTTTATCCTTATGACTATGTTTCATCATTTGAAAAATTATTTGAAACACAATTACCACCAAAAGAAGAATTTTATTCAAAACTAAATGATGAAGACATAACTGATGATGATTACCAACACGCTATTAATGTATGGAATACTTTTGAATGTAAATCAATAAGAGATTATCATAATCTTTACTTTAAGTCCGATGTCCTACTTTTATCAGATGTATTTGAGAATTTTAGAAAAACTTGTTTGAAACATTACAACCTAGATCCAGCTCATTATTACACATCTCCTGGCCTAGCTTGGGATGCATGTCTCAAAGAAACAGGACAGGAATTACAGTTACTACATGATTATGATATGTTAATGATGTTTGAAAAAGGAATTCGTGGTGGAATATCTCAAATATCAAAAAGATATGCAGAAGCGAATAACAAATACATGAAAGGTTATAATCCTGATGAGGAGTCTAGTTATATTCAATATCTCGATGCAAACAATCTTTACGGTTGGGCAATGTCTCAACAACTTCCAACACATGGATTTAAATGGATGAGAAACCTAACAAAAGAGTCCCTAATGGAAATTCTAGAGAAAGCAAATCATAGTATGTCAAATCGTGGAAGAAAAGGATATATATTTGAAGTTGATTTGGAATATCCTAAAAAACTATGGGATACACATAATGACTATCCACTTGCACCTGAGAAGATGATTGTTAATGGTGTTGAAAAACTAATTTGTCATTTTAAACCAAGAAAAAACTATGTTGTACATTATCGGAATTTAAGACAATATCTTGAGATGGGAATGAGAATAACTGCTGTTCATAGAGGAATATCATTCTATCAAAGTTCTTGGATGGAACCTTACATAAGAAAAAATACAGAGCTTCGAAAAACAGCAGCCAACAGTTTTGAGAAAGACTTTTTCAAACTAATGAATAATTCAGTATTTGGAAAAACAATAGAAAACTTAAGGAAAAGACAGAATATATTTCTTATTGATAATCGTAAGAAAGCTGTCAAACTAACAAGTCGTCCAAACTTTGATAGAGCAAAAATATTTGATAAAAATCTTATTGCGGTTGATATGAAAAAAACCGAAGTATATTTCAACAAACCAGTATATGTTGGTCAAGCAATTCTAGATTTATCAAAAACATTAATGTTTGATTTTCATTATAACTACATTAAAAAGAAATATAAAGACAAAGCTGAGTTATTGTTTACAGATACCGATAGTTTGATGTTTCAGATTTACACAGATGATTTTTATAAAGATATATCCCATGACATACTAACCAAGTTTGACACATCTGATTATCCTCCTGATCATCCATCTGGAATACCAACAGGAGTTAACAAAAAAGTAATAGGGATGTTTAAAGATGAAGTAGCAGGAAAACAAATAACTTGTTTTGTTGGATTGCGGCCCAAACTTTACAGTTTTAGAATTGAAGAAGATAAAGAAGTACGTAAATGTAAAGGAATAAAGAAAAATGTCGTAAAAAAGAAATTGGATTTTGATGACTATGTTCAATGTTTATTTTTGGATAAAAAACAAATGAGAAAAATGAAAATAATAAGAAGTGAAAATCATGATATATATTCAAAAGAAGTTAACAAAATAGCTCTAAGTAATGAAGATGATAAACGCGAAGTACTCTTGGGAAAAGTAAAAACGATAGCTTTAAGGTAATAAAGTATAAATAATAAATGTCATATACAGAAGATCAAATAAAAAAATATTTAGAAATATTGCATAATTATAATAAAAAACCTATAGAGGAAGTGAATGATAGTAAAAAAGCTAAATGTTGTAATTGTAAAAATAGTGAATGTTTTACTATTGAATCAGGTTATAATATTTGTGATTACTGTGGAGTAGCAAATGGTCATGTATTAGGCTTTTACGATGTTAAAGATTATGATAGATTACATTTTCGAAAAAAGAGTATTTATCAGAGAAAGTATCACTATGAGAAAAAGGTTAATCAAGTTTCTAAAAAATAAACCTAACTGATGAACAAAAATATGAATTGTATAATAAACTAATGAAAATAGACAATCACATCATGGAAATACTAAACAAAAAATACTGTAGAAAGAGAATGATAAGTATTTTTTATCTAATTAAAAAACTTTTGGAGGAGATGGGTTGTGAAAAGAGTAAACTAGTTTATCTTAAAATTTCACCACAGACTTTGGAGAATTATGAAAAGTGGTGGAATAGTTATATTAGTTGAAATAAATGATTTATTAAAATAAAGATGGAATCAGAATCTAGATGTAATGGTTTTAAATTTATTATAATTCCTCATAAATCTTACTATGGAGATTTACCTATTAAAAATATAATAAGTGATTTAAATTATCTTAAAAGTAAAAGTAAAGTTGGATATGGTATTTATCCATTTTACAAAACTTTAGAAAATGTTATAAATAAACTAAAAGATGAAAATCATTTTTGTAAGAATTACAATTGTAATTATTTTTCATTAGATGAAAAAGAAGTAATATACATGTTTTTGGTTATTCTTGATTATATTGTTAGAAAATTATCTTCTGATAGTTATTTTAGGAAAATAAAAGAAAAAATAGAAGAAGATTTAAATGTTAGAGTTTACCACCCCTCTGTGAAAAAACCAGTCCTGTTAGATAACCAAGTACTTCAGACTCTTTAAATGGTGTGTTGAAAGTATAAACACATCCTCTTCCAATTTTATAATGTTTCCAAAAAGCTCTAAAAGCGAGATTGAATATCAAATGATTGGTAATAATATTTGAATTTGAATTGAGGTAGTGTCTCGCTTCTGTTAATCTGTAAATAATTTGGTCTATGTCTAGTTTTTGTGTAAAATATTTTGCATAGAGAAACTGGTAAACAAGACAAGCTTTAATGAATTTATCTGAATAAAATTGTGTTTTGTAAGTTGGAAAGTAGAAATTAAAATATGCTACAATTGATTTGATCATTTTATATTATGAATAGATATAAAATAGTTTAAAGATTAAAATAAATTAATAATAATGAGTTTTGATATTTCAAAAGAAAGTTTAAAAGAGGAAGGTAAATCACTACTTAAACAATTAAGAGGTTTACTTAAAGAATTTGAAGATATTTTTAGAATGGATTATGATGAAGCAATTTTTTGAGACAATTAATAAAATAAAAGAAAATCTTAAATTAGCAGAGTCGGTTGCAATATGCGAACAAATAAAAAGAGAAGGAAAACCAGATGGTGATACTTATCATTGGTATAATGATTACTTAGCTTACAGAATAATTAAAACAAAAGATAAAAAGGATAAACTTCTTTCAAAAGCTCCAAAAGGATTTTTTTGTCCTGATTTGGAAAGTATTGCAAGAATATTAGATTTAATAAATTTAGATATGGAAATTAATGAAGATTTATATTTTGATGTATCAAATTTTTTAAAAAAATATGAAGCGTATCAAGTGTTAGAAATAAGTAGAAAGGATTAAATATATGTAATATTTTTTATCTTATGTATAGATAGAAAATGGCTTAAAAGATATATGAATATAATATAAATGGAGGAACAATTAAGAGAGTATATTCTTTCTGGAAATAAAGATGAAAAACAGTTTCTTATTGATGATCAAGTAGTTACAGTTAACCCAAATAAGACACAAGATGAAATAGAAAAGGAAATAGAAGAGGAAATACAGAGGGTGATAAATGATGAAAAATATTATTTAGTTTTTCTTGATTTAATAAATAAAAAAGAAGGAGTAACAACTTATTGTCTTTTGTTGTTTATGAGATATCTTTTTGATCTTAAAAATTTAGTTGAAGAAAGAGGATTTGAAAAACATAAAGATCAAGTTGATAACTGTTTGGAAATTGTAATTAAGATATTAAGTCATCTTCGCAATATGCAAAGAAGAAATATACTTAAAACGGATCGTGATTTGTCCGTAATAAATGAGAATTTAGAAAAAATACTGTTAATTTCTAGAGGAGAATTAGAGGATGAACCAATATACAATTTCTTAAGTTACATTTTGTTAGATTTGAAAGATAATGGATTCACATTTGACCATGTAGATAGAATAGATAATTTTTACAATCGTGTAAAAGGCAATAAAGTAAAAATACTTAAAATTGATTAATTAAGGTTTAAAAAGAATATAATTATAATATAAATGTCAAATATGTTGGAAAAAACTTTTAAAAATGAAGAGTTAGGAATTGAGTTAACATCTTATTTAGACAATCAGCAAAATGTTTGGTTTTGTGGGAAAGATGTTGCTCAATTACTTGGATATAAAGACACTAATCAAGCAATTAGAAAACATGTTGATTATGAAGACCAAAAAAGCTGGCCAGTCGAAACGACGGGTCAGGTCAGATGGTGTACTTTTTAAAATGAATCCGGTTTCTAGTCACTTGTTTTATCTTCAAAATTAGAAACCGCTAAAAAGTTTAAACATTGGATTACCTCAGAAGTTCCTCCTTCAATTCGCAAATATGGATATTACAAAATGTTTGACAACCCAAATAACAAAATGTTTAAAATAGAAAATGAGAAGGACCTCCACTGTAAAGTTGTTGAACTAATTAGGAATTTTTACCCAAATGCTATTATGGTTCCAGGACTTGGGGAAAACCAAGATACACCAGACAAAAGAATTAACAGTTGGAAAAAAGGCTATATGCGAGGTCAACCAGATTTAATGATTCTTGATTATCACAAATATTATAAAGGTCTCTGTATAGAATTTAAATCTCCAACTAATAATTACTGTGTTACAGAATCACAACTAAAAATGAAAGAGAAGTATTGTAATAATGAATATGCATTTATACTTAGTAATGATTATGATAAGATCAGCAAACTTATTCATAAATATATGGCTGGTGTTAGAATTCCTTGTGAATATTGCACAAAAGCATTTCGTAATAAAAAAACTCTAAATAATCATTATAAAGTTATTCATAGAATTGAGAAAAACATCTAATTTTGATATTAAATTTAATATCAAAATGTTAGAGAAATCTTTTATAAATAAACAATTAGGAAATAAACTAACTTAATATAATAATTAGTATTTTAATCTTTAAACCTTTTTTCTTATTCTTGAAATATTTTTTAAAATGTCTTTGATGTCTCTATAGTTTCTAATATCATCTAAATACTTTTTACATCTTTCAAACAATTTTTCATCAATATTAACTCTTTTTGAATCAGTACAAAAAAGACAATAAGCATTAGCTTTTTCTACTAAAAATTCATCATCATCTTCAAGTATAGAATCAACTTCTTTACAGATTTCTTCCCCTTCTATAGCTAAAGTTGATTCGTAAGAACTAAGTAATTGATTTTCAAATTTTTCAGAATGGTCCATTTCTAATCTATGTTTAGATTAAATTTTTTACTATACCTACTAACAAATCTATCTGCTATAGGAGTTTGATCAATTATCATTTCATCTACCAACTTCATGCGATCAACAAACTCTTGTTTGTTCCACTCATCTCCCCGAAGAACTGCACGGAGTTCAACTAGTACTTTTTCATAAGTAGTAAATGCAGTCCTTGACATTTCAATTTTTCTCTTGTAGTTATTTTTCTTTCCAATTCCTGCTACAACAACCCCAGCGCCATTTACAACTCCAAGAACAACAGGGTTTAGGGTTATCCCACCAGCAATAGTTCCTATTGCGACCAGGCATATTCCAGAGATTGTAAACACCTCATCAAGAAATTTGTAACTCTTATAAGACCTCTTAAAACACCAGTATTTCTTATGGTAATGACTATAAAAGTCTTTTAGGGTTTTAACGTCTGATTCTGACAGAGATTTATCAATGTGATTGAATTCAAAGATATCCTTCATTTATGTTTAAATTATATAAGATCCATTTAACTTTTCTTGAAGCATTACTTTGTGATATTGCTCAGAGTCGGTGTCGTAAAAGTTTGGACTAGACATTAATCTATAAATTACTCCATCATCAATATTAAGAGTCCAATATTGGTCATTGGCGTAAACAGTAGAGTTTAAAGTTAATGATGAGCTATAGTTACTTATTTTAAGTTTTGTAACATTTGAGCTAAAATCTTCTGTTAACCATATTTCAATTTTTTTTCCATTAAAACTATTTGGAGAAGTAAAAGATGTAGTTACATTTCTATCAACTTCTAATGCAAATTCACGTCTTGGAGTTTCGTATGTAACATATGTTATTATTTTTCCATCACTTCTTCTTATCTTTTTTAAATATAAATTTCTATCTCTCCAATGAGTAAGAACAATACATAGTGTATAATTTGAAGTACGATTAGAAGGATTAAAAGTTAAAGTATAACCATTTACATTTATTCCGTTGTTTTTTATAATACTTAGATCCTTATAATACTTAGATCCTTATTTAATACTTAGATCCTTATTAATATTATTAATTTATTCCGTAAGTATCCGCATCAGCAAAGTCATAAAACTCACTAAAGTATAATCTGTACAAAGCATTTTTAGTAAAAGGAGCTACTTCTTTTACTAATGCAACTGTTGCAGCACTATTATCATTTTGTCGGTTAAGTTTGATATTTTTAATTTCTTTTTGATTTGCATTAATATCAACGTTGTACACCACTTCTGTTGGTTTGATATCAAATGCGGTGTGATAGTCGTAAACTTTATCTGGATCGATATTGCTGACTGTACCAACAATACCATAAGCAATCATGTAAACTCCCTTAAAAATGATTGGATATTTATACATTACTCTTTTATTAATATCAACAAGAATGTGAAGAAAAAATCTATTCCCAGATGACAACTTTCGAAAATTAATTATTATTCTATAATAATACATAAATTTTGTTTGCCGTTTGAATCAGTATAACTATAGGATAGTTTTCTTATACCTACATTTCTAATTGACAATCCTCTTGAGGTTCCTTTGTCAATACTTATTTGAGTATTATTCCAAAGAATATAATCAGTGTTGAGTATTTCTAGACAAAGGGTATAGTCAGTATTTGCAGTTAGTCTGTAAAAATTAATTCCCATCTTATACTTATATTTAAGTTGGCGATTTTTATATATAGTCATGTAAATTACTTTGTGATTATAGTCATGAAAGTTTTCTTTGTTTGGTGGCAAGTCATCTATCTTATTTACAGCAAAACTAATTCCAGTATCTATTTCATCAGTCCATTGAGCCCCACTTGACATAAGATAAGCAAACTCATTTTTATAATGACTTGGTTGAACTGCAGTGTGATGAACTAGTTTATCGACATAATCTTTAGTTACTGCTTCATTGTCTTGGGTTGGCTTACTAAGATTTATTATTTTATTATTACCACCATTAAAGTTTCCAGTCATAGCAACAGTACCATCTTTTTTCAAATAATCACTTAAATCTGAACTTTCAGTATTATCATCAACATACTTTTTGGTTGCGGCGTCTGTGTTTGATGTTGGAGTTGCGAGACCAACTATTTTATTGTTGTTAAGATTCAAGTCTCCAGTCATAGCGACGGTACCATCTTTTTCCAAATAATCACTTAAATCTGGAGCACCTGTGTTATCATCCACATACTTTTTGGTTGCAGCATCTGTATTTGATGTAGGTGGTCTAAGGTTAATTATTTTTTTATTATCCATGTTTAGATTATTAGTCATTTTATTTGTTCCAGCAACGTGAAGATACTTCAAATCTGTGTTAGCTAATGGTGTTGGTTGTTTTCCACCCGTTGGAGCTGGTAGATTTAATATTCGATTATTATCCATATTGAGATTACCTTTCATTGGGTAGGAACCATCTCTGTCAAGAAATGTGTTGTCTACGTAATATTTTGTGGCTGGATCTTTAAGGTCTAGTGGAGGGTTAAGATTTGTAATTCGGTATTTATTATTCATATTAATGTCTGAATCAACTGTCAATCGTGATGTTGTGGGTGATCCACTGGAATTATCATCAACATATTTTTTTGTAGCAGCATCAGTATTATCACTGGGAGCACCAACATTTGTGAGTCTTTTTTTATTCATATCATAATTACCATCTGCGGTTAGACTAAAACCAATTCCTGGAGCACCCTGAATTCCTTTAGCAAAAGGATGATCAAAAGATTGTTCGTTAAATATACCCATTTTAATTATTAGGCTAGATTACTAGTAAAGTTTTTTGCAATACTTTTTCTGGGTTTATCAACATATAGAAATGTAAATGGTTTTCTTGTTGCTGCTTTATATGTCTCTTTGTCAACTCCCAACTCAGATGATATCCTGTTGGATTCTCTCGATGATGGAAATTCATAAAGGCAGTAATGAGAACAATTCAATCGAATATCCTTTGGAGTTTTGTAAAATGATTGACTGAGGTAGATTACAGAGCAATTCTTATGCCGTCCTTGAATGAAATAATCAATCAGTTGTCTCTGGTTTTTATCACAAACATAGTCATCGAATATCACAAGTTTTTGATTGTCTTCATAATCCACTTCTGTCACTGGAGTTATTTCATCATTACTCACATGAAGTATTTCATATCCCAGTTTACTACTCAACTCCCTCATTTTCTGAATTAGCTTTTGATACTTATCCTGTTCTAGACTACGCGCGTAAAGATAAATCTCATCATAGTACAACAGCGGTTTAATTAACATGTGATATAACAGATTAGTCTTACCACTTCCACTGTTTCCACAAATTAACATCCGAAATGTGTCTGATGGCATGTAAGGAAATAACTGTTTATATTTTTTATCAGGGTCACCGGTACTATCATAGTTTGGTATTTCCATTTATCTATTTATTATATAAAATGGATATTGAAGAATACAAAAAACTTGCAAGAAATAAAATTTAAGCTGATTCTTTGACTAAACAGGTGAGAGATGTAATAAAAATAACAAAATGGCAAAAACAAGATATGGGGGAAGGTTTTAAAGAGACATTTATACCTGCCAACTTTTTCTGAAATATAAGCGTGAGATTTTTATCCTGGGAGTGCTGGGATTTTTGAAGACGACACGATCATTTCCGAAGATTCCCGAAGAAGTCCTAAGTCTTCCGAAGACGTCCGAAGTCTGCCGAAGTCTGCCAAAGGCGAGCTCGCTCCCAGTGCTTTTCACTTCAAAAATCAGAGATCGCGAGGAAGGTATTGCCATTTATTCATTTTACACATGGTTTTCGTTCCTTACATGGGTCTGAGTTAACATATTTTTGGAAACTGTGTCAAGCAGGACGGCAACAACTCACATTTTTCAATCAGGCGTGAGAAATTGGCCCGCAGGCGTGAGCCGGCGTGAGATCGAAGTTTTCAACCCGCAGGCGTGAGACTCACGCCTAAGGCGTGAGAGTTGGCAGGTATAGACATTTAAACCACTTATTAAATCTCAAGATAGTATTAAAAAAAGTATTGATGAGCAGCAAGACGCAACTATAGCACAACTTAAAAAAAATCAACTTGCATTATAAACAGGATTGGACAAGATTAATGAAACTAATGAAAGATTAGCTGATATAAAAGAACTGCCAGAGTCAGATGATTGGGTGCCAATGCCTCCACCAGATGATGGAAAAGGCTGGGATAGTAACTGGGTACCAGTACCTCGACCATCAGGTAATTTAGAAAAAAACTTTGTTGGTAGTGATCTTATTTTTTTACAAAATTATGATTATCCAAGACCAAGTGAATTTAATGAAGTTGGTGTTCAAGATTTAGAACAAATACATACAAACTTAAACCAAAATATACGTGAGTTGGATGGTCGAATTGTAGGTAGAAAAAATAATAAAAATCCATCTCCAGAGTATGTAGCAGGAACTAATAAATTAAAAGAATCAGTAGGTATACTAAAAAAATATAGGAATACAATGAATAGATTTTTTAACTCAATTAATTATCAAACATGGCAGGGTATTGTTTACTTTAACAACCCACATCAACTCCTAGACAGACTTGAATTACTTGGTGGTTCAATTCTTGCTGGGAATAATGGTGTGATACCTGAGTTTTCTCAAACTGCACATCTTCTCAACCAAATGAAAGTAATCTCAAAAAAACAACTAAATGATTTACTAAAAAATTATATATCTATTGAATAAAAATGGAAGAACGAGCTATCCACATTTCCTCTATAAACAGGGAAAAAAGAGGAACAAGCAGACCTGGTGATTTTACTATTAAGTTTAATCCATCTCTGAAACTTGACCCTGATAAATCCCACCAACTTGCTCTTGATCGATTGTCCATGACTTACTCTTGGTACAACATTAGAAGTGATTATAAAAACAATAAAATCAAATACACCCATGATGGAACCAACTGGCAAACAATTACTTTTACAGATGGAATGTATTCCTACTCAGATATCAATGATTACATTCATCAATACATGACTCAAAAAAATCATCACACAACAGATTCCAAAGGAGAAAAAAAGTATTCAATCAATCTAACTTTTATACTATCTACTTATCGAGTGTTATTATCACTTGATGGTGATTATCGACTTGATCTGAGAGGAACAGAATTTGGAGACCTGATTGGATTTGAAAAGAAACTTATTACAAAAGCAGAGTATGGATCAAAACTACCAAATATCACAAATTCGATTGATGTGTTAAATATCAACACAAGCGCAATAACTGATAGCATTGTAAATGGAATAAATACAAATACTATTGCTGTGATACCAACAGATAATCTCACAAGGTCTTTTCCATTTACGTTTGAACCTAAAAGACCATTTTATTGTCCTGTATCTACATTTCACATTGATGAAATGAGAATCTATGTGACAGACTCACTTGGAAGACTAGTAAATTTCAATGGCATTGATTGGTTTATGACTTTAATACTTCACTCGATGTAATATAACTATTAAAATAAAATGATGCGACAATCAGAGTTTAAAATGAGATTTGACCCTGAATTGGGTCGATATACAAGACAACATATTTATGGTGAAGGAATGATGGATGTTTTTAAATCGGTTGGTAAAAAAATATTTGGAAAGACAATGAAAAAAGCTGCTAAAAAAGGAGCTAAAAAAGCGGTAACAGCAGCTGCAACAAAAACCGGTGAACATGTTGGCAAAAAGGCTGGCGATAAAATAGTGCAAATGTTATCAAAAAGTAATAATAAACCAAAAGTGACTTTTAATAAAAATGTTGAGACAATTCCAAGTGAAAAAGAGTTAAATCAAAGATTGAATAACCTTCTTAGTGGAGGTTCAACACGTAAGAGAAAAATTATATAATTATTAAAATAAAATGAAGTCTCTTAGAAATCCAAAATATTTAGACAGATATGAGGATGTTGTTTTTGACCTGGAACAGACTCTAGATACAGCTCCAGCAAATGACGCCCACCAAACTAAAACAGGTCTTAGATTTGTTGCTGATAATACAGGAGAAACTACTCCTTTTGATCGGTATAACGCACGATTATCAATGGATTTTAAAGTAAATAAACTAGCAGATGGGGGAAATATTGCGGTTGCTGACCATAACGGAATTGTAAATGGTAGTAACTCATTTATAGAAAAATTAAGTATCCTGGCAAATGGTCGAGAAGTTTATAGTTGTAATTATGCAAATCATGTTGTAAATATTAAAAATTTGCTTGAGTGTAATCCTTCATATGCACAGAGTGTTGCTACAAACGAATTTTATTTTCTTGATACATCAACATCTGCAGAGGAAAGACCTGCTCAAGCAACTTATAATAAAGGTTTTCATCAAAGGAAATTACTATTAGGTGCATCAGCCACAGTAAACTGTGAAATTCCTCTTAATAGATATTCTTTCTTTGAAGCATTGGAAGATAAACTACTTCCTAATACAAAAATTGAGCTAAACATCGAAATTGAAAAAGATGGAAATTTAATTTTTCAAGGTGCTGATGATTGTAGAGTTATTATAACAAGACTACAACTTTTTATTCCAAAACTTACGTTTAATTCAGAAGGACAAAAGTTGTACATGGAAAATTATCTTGAACCTTACAAATGGACATATTTGAATGAGGTAGTTGAAAGGTCAAATAATTCACAGCAACAGACAGGACATTTTAGAATTACAAATGCTATTTCAAAGCCAAGGCATGTATTTGTTTTTGGAATTGATACAGCAAGAATTGATTCGCAAACAGCAAATCCATTTTTATACGACACTTTTAATCTACCAAATAATGCTAATATATCAAGATGTTACTTGGAAGTTGCAAATGGAAACGAATATCCTGATATTCACTTTAAACCTTCTACAGATATGTCAAGAGTTTTTAGAAATGTAATGTCATACGTCTATGCAAATAATGATTATCAAGGTGGAACATTACTTAATATAAGTAATTTTAAATCTTTATTTCCTTTTGTTTATTTTGACCTAACAAAACAAAAAATGGATATCAAAGATGGTGTTACAAAACTAGCATTTCATTACGAATTAACTGCTAATCCAAACGCTGATTATATTATTTACGCATTAGTCTTACATGAAAGAGTAGCAGAAATATCACAACAAGATGGAAAACTATTGCTTCGTGCTTAGATTTAATATAATTCTATAAATAAATGACTACTTATATTGAATACGGTGTAACACTTACAGATGGACAAAAGTCAAAATTGGCTTCTGCAATATTAAATAAATCACCACTAACTCTTCGGTTAAAACATTCTCATCTTAGAGGTTCTGATGAGTTAATGCTGACAAAAAGACAAATTTCTAAAATAAAAAAATCTATTGCAAATGGCACCGGATCAGATATAAAGATAAGTAAAACACAGATTAGACGTTCTGTAAAACATGGTGGAAACTTATTTTCATCACTCGCATCTCTTGGAGCAAAAGTACTACCATATGCAATAAAAGGAATTTCAAAAGCTGTTCCCGCATTAGCAACTGGTGCTGCTAATGCACTTGGAGAACTTGGAATAAATAAAATATTTGGAAAAGGAATCACAATTCCCCCACAGTTTTTCCCAATGCTACCACCTCTCGTAAGAGAATTTACCAAATCACAAATAAATCAAATTAACAAAGCTTATCAAACAGGAGGTCGATTGGTTATAAAACCAACTCGTAAACAGATAGAAGGAGGATTTTTGGGAACACTTGCTTCTATTGGAATTCCAATGGCAATTAGTTTAGTATCTAAGATGTTTGGATCTGGTCTTCAGGTTGATAGACATTCATCATCTAATACAGCAAATGTTTACGTTCCACCCACAGATGGTGGAGGTTATCCTTATCAATCTCCTCCCTTTTTTGGTACTTGGGAAAACCCAATTGGAATGGGAGTTAAAAAAAAAGTCCAAGTCCAAAGGCAAGGGTCTTCTTCTAGGAAAAAACAGCCCATTCAATTCAATTCCAGTATTAGGAACCATTTTTTAATCAAACCTCTATCCAACTTTGACCTCATGGATTGGGTAAAGAAACTTGGTATTAAACATTTTAGAGGAATATACAGTCGTGATGGTTTACCAAAAAAGATTAGAAAAGAATGTGGAATAATCAATCTCGATGACATGACTGGCCCTGGAACACACTGGGTTTGTTATAGAAATATAGACAATGTAGTTGAGTACTTTGATCCATTTGGTTTAATAATGTCAAATTAAGCACTGAAGTATTTTCATACTTCTGGAAAACGTATAGTTTACTCAATGGATGAAATACAAAATCGCAATACTGTTCTCTGTGGTTACTGGTGTTTATATTATTTGTTTGAGCGTCAACGGGGTAATAGTATTCTAGATGTAATACATAACCCTCATTTCGATAATGACAACAGTGATTTTATAAAAGAATATTTTTTCTTAAGACTAAATATAAAATTCATATTTAGTCTGTATCCTCCGGCGCATCCTTTAGCTGTTTAACCCTATCAACTTTTGTATTTAGATCTTTAACGCTATCAACTATATCATCAAATTTCGAGTAAATATCTTTAAGACGATAAAGTTTCTTTTTATTACTATTTATTTGCAACCAAGAATACTCCTCATTTCTGATTTTTCCCCACATCTCACTTTCACCAGCCATTAGTACTCTAGAAAGATCATCATTTTTCTTTCTAAGAGCCTCAAACTCATTATTTATTTGTGTTCGTACATCTTTCTCAAAATCTTTTAGTGTTTTAACATCCATCTTTTTTTCTATCTCAGAAAAGAATTTGGCTTCCATTTTATTATATAAATAGCTAATTACCTTTTACAACTTTGTTAAGTGTATTTGATTTCTCACTTATTTCCATAAGCAACTCAAATATTTTTATAAATTTAGTATCATTTTCCAATCTAGAATAGTCAGCATATTCATAACTCATGTTTAAAAAATTATATCTCTTTTGAAGTTCACTTTTTACAAAGTTAGATCTAGTAGACATATTTTATCTAAACATTATATTAAATGGCAGAATCATATTGCATTGTAGATAAAAGAGTAACTCCTTGCACAGAGCCAAGTGGTTACCAAAAAGATAAAAGAGGTAGAACTCAATTCTATTGTAGATGCGCAGTTTGTGGAAACAAAAAAGTTAAATATGTAAAAACTGGAACAGTTTCTCAAACTGGAAGTGGAAAAAAGAGAAAAACTAAAAAGAAGTCAAAAAACTAATTAGCCCGTCTGAAGGGGCGGGCGTCTTTGATACTGTTGTTGGCACAGCAGTTGATGGATTTTTTCATTACGGTTTACCTTGGATGGGTAAGAAAGTAGTTGAAATGGGACGATATGGAGCAAGCGAGTTAATGAGAAATAAAAATCTTCAGAAGAAAACTGTAAATTATGGGATTAATAAACTCACTCCATTTATTCAAGATTCTGTTGGTACAGCAATGGACCAACTATCAACCAAAGTAAGACCAAATAAAAAGTATAAAACCGATAGAAAGGATTTAGACAGTCAATCAGGACGAGGAGTAGGAGGTGGGGTGAATCCAACTTTGCAGTATGCTTTTGATGAAGCTAAAAATGGCGGGTATAAGGGTAATATAGATCAATTTGCCAAAACAACTGGATTAACACATGAGTTAACCGGGGGAAATCTTGTTGTTGATGCTGTAAAATTTGCATGGGATAAAGTAGCTAAAGGAGCTGTAAATAAAGCCATTCAGGCTGAAAAAAAAAACACCAAGATTTTGTAAAAAGTGGAAGAAGGCAGCATTTTGTAAATAGTTGGAATGAGGTAAAAGAATTAGGTTACAAACATAAATACTTTACTTTCTATTTAAGTTTGACAAATAAACCACTTGGATGGACAATGGGGTCTGGAGTTGACATTCACAAACAAATACTAAAAGTAACACCTTATAGAGGAATAACTATAACAGGCCATAATTATACTGGACCAGGAAATCCTCTTCATGATCAACTTCGTCACGATGATGAGGGAAATATACTAGAAATCTACCAACAACCAACAGGACCAACTGATGCAGTTAGTATGCAACATGATGTTGATTACACAGTTTGTGGAAATAAACCTAAAAGTGAACAATTAAAATGCAAACATGCAGCAGATAAAAAAATGGTAAAATCACTAGATGCAATTCCTTGGAAAGAAAGACAATGGGGTCACTTTCTTGCTAGAACTATGATAAATACAAAACAAAAACTTGGACTTGGTTTAAACGCGCATCGGCGTTGAGTAGTGATTGGTCTCAACAATTAGCCGACGAACTTCACAAACCAATCACAAGAAACTTTCAAAAGAGATCAGTAGTCTCAAACGGGATTGATGAAATCTGGGCTGCTGATTTAGTTGAAATGCAAAAGTTTAGTAAGTGGAACAAAGGGATTAAATATCTTCTAATGGTAATAGATGTGTTTAGCAAGTATGGTTGGATTAGGGGTTTGAAAGATAAGAAAACTGAAACTGTTAGTAAAGCATTTGAGGACAAATTCAAAAGTAAACGTAAACCTCAATTGTTATGGACAGATAAAGGTTCTGAATTTATCAGTAAACATTTTAAAGATTTTCTTAAAAAAGAGGGTATCAAGTTGTATCACACTGAAAACGAGGAAAAATCTAGTGTTGTTGAGAGATGGAATAAAACAATGAAAAACAGAATGTGGAAGATGTTTACTACGAATAACAACACTGTTTACTGGGACAAGATAGATAAAATAGTTAATGATTACAATAATGCGAGACATTCTAGTATAAAAATGACTCCTGTTGAAGCAAGTAAAAAGAAAAATGAAAGTAAAGTTTGGTCTAATTTGTACGGTGATTCGATTTACTTGAAACCTGGTAAATCAAAGTTTGCAATTGGTGATCGTGTTAGAATTTCTAAGTATAAGAGAAAGGTATTTGATAAAGGTTACACACCAAACTGGACAGAGGAGATATTTGTGATTGATAAAGTTCTTCCAACAAAACCTGTTACATATAACATCGTTGATTTGATGGGAGAAGAGATAAAGGGTTCTTTCTACGAACAAGAATTACAAAAAGCAAAACAACAAACATTTAGAATAGAAAATATTATCAGGAGGGATAATAAAAAGAAAATGGCATTAGTGAAATGGAGTGGATATCCTGATAAATTTAACTCATGGGTGAGTTCTAAGGATTTGGTTGATTTTTAATACAAATATTGTATTAAAAATAAAATCCTATTATTTACTCAGTTTCTTCTTCATCAGAGATAACTAATTCTTCAACTAATTCAACTACTTTCTCAGTAGTAACCTCTTCATCTTCATCTTCATTTTCCTCTTCAATTGTTAGTAAAGCCTCTCTAGGTTTAAGTGGTTTGACAAAGCACTCATGTAATTTTATTTGTAAAGATGTTACAGTCTTACTAATAAATATTCCTTCGATTATCAAAGCCATTTTAACATTACAATACTGGTTAATATATTTAAAAGGATTTAAATCCTTACCTTCCTTTCCCTTAAACAAAGATAAAATTTTCTTAGATTTTTCTGAGTAAATAAGTTTTGCGTAAAGAACTGGCGCAGATGAGGGATCTATTCTTGTTTTCTTCTTTCCTTTCTTATCTGTATATTCTTCTTGTTTGAAATAAAATGGTGAAGATAGAGTTGATGCTAGATCTGCACCGTATTCATTTTCTAGATGTTGTTGAAAAAAAGTGGTTACATTGTTAATAACATCAAAAAATGCTTTTTCTTTAGTACTTGGCTCGCTATCTTTAGCCCAAAGACATACTGGCATACTATAACCAACTAACTTGTTTGTTTCTTGATTTTTCTTCTCATTAACACCAAAGCTGAAAAGAAGTGGAGTTTCAACTACCAAAGCTCCTTTCTTTCCATTTGGATATTTGACTTCAATTGGGATACGTTTGTATTTGATCTTGCTATCTTTGACTTTGTATTCTTTGGCTTCATTAAAGATAATGTTTTCGGTTGTAATACTATCATAACTTGACAACTGCATTTTTTTTATTATAAAAATTATTTCTTTAAATCATTTTATTTTCAATTGTGACTTCTATAGAATATAATCTTTCTGAAATTTCTTTTAATCCTTCTTCTAAAACTTTTATAAGTTCTTTTTTAAAATTATTATCATCATAATTATTATTAACATAATTTTTACTAACTAAATCATTATCATTAAATAGACTAGTTAAACCAACAATACCATTTGAACTCATTTTATTATATTTTTTATTCTTTTAAATCATTTTTTAGGCCAGAGTAAATGAACAGACCAAAAGTTTGCCGATTCGGGATTATTATAAGTCAAATCTCCTGATTTATTCTTTATTTTTGTAGCTCGAGCAAGATATTTATCTCTTCTCTCTTTGTCTTGATGAATAAAATAGTCTGGATAATTTGGTGATCCAAAATGAATTTTCTTTCCACTTGGAAGTGTTGCCATATATTTATTATTTTTACGTTCAGAATAATCAAGAGATTGTGCACCAAGCTTTATAGCATTTTTGGTTAGTTTTTTTAAACTCTTTTCCACTAACAAGATATTCTTCATCTGGAACATAATCTGGATCAGCATCATGTCTATATCCATCATCAACTATAAAATCCAAATCCTCCTTTGTAGGAGTAGTTTCTCTTGATCTTGGTTCCATTATTTTATTATTTGTTTATATTATTTTAAGAAATTCTTAATCTTATTATAAATTTTATCCTCATAAATTTTCGTATATTTATATTTATTTTTATAATTATTAATATCTCTATGAATTTCATCAATTCCTTCATAAGTAAAATAATTTTTCAATCTTATTATAAGATCTTCCTTTAAAATTAGAAAAAGCAACAAATGTAATTAAACTATGGTAAATATTTGGATCTAAAAGGCTTAATTTAGTTCTCCTATCTTTTTGATTTTTTATTACTTTTCTTTTCCATTTTTCTATTTCTGAATGAATTATTTTACCATTATCCAAATCATCAAGGTTAATTAATTTTACATCATTAAATACAAGTTGTTTAAAATCATATCTATTTCTTAATATATATCTAAAAGGTGGATTTTCTTCAAAATCTTCAAATACGTATAATTTTTTTTATAATAAACATCACTATTTTCAAAAGTAATACCAAATTTATAATATCTATCAAGTAAAATAAAATAATCTTCATCTAAATATGAGTCATTATCATATTCTTCATTTTCTAAAAAATCACCAGAATATTTAATTAACATAAAAACTAAATGCTGAAAAGGATGATTTCTTGCTAAAGTGTTAATTTTTTTAAATCAAAAAGTTTAAATTTAAAATCAAGGGGTATAATAAATTCATTCATTTCAGGAGAGCATATAATCATTTTTTTTATTTATTAACTATATTTTTTTAAGTTAATTATTAATCTTATAACAAAAAAATGTTATAAGATTAAAAATATTAATCACTATCAGTATCAGATAATATATCCTCAAGATCATCACTATCAAGTCCATAACTATCACTATCACTATCACTATCAGTACAATAATCCCAAAAACTCTTGATACCTTCTTCATATTTTATTTTAAACTTACTACAAAATAATTCGAAATCATCATAAATATTTTTAAAACCAGGATAAGGATCAATAAAAGGTTCATCATCATCATCATAACAACGTTTACAAAAATTAATATATTGTTTAAAATTAAGAATTTTTTTTTTAATCTTAATTAAGTAATCAACATCACTACTTTTAATCTCAAAATTACTAACATCATTAAGATAACCTAATTTTTGAGCTAACAAAAATTTTTTAATAAATTTTTTTATTTTATCAACTCTATGATTTTCAAATAATCCACGATATGCTTCATTTATATTATCAACAAAAAACTTAAAATCCTTATTCATCCCTCTTATAAAAAGATATTCATTTTTAAATTCCCTTGCATATTCTGGAATTTTATTTGTCCCAGAAATGCAATTTTGTTGACCCAGATAACCATTTTCCTAACTACTGCACCCATGCCTCTAATGCTGTTGTTTTATGTGTTCTATCGTGTGGTGGAGGCAAAATCCTCCGTTTTGCCTAAGGGTAGTGACACCAAGATTAAGTGCTGCTTGAATCTCGCATATACCTTTCCGGCATTTCGCTCCACGGAGCACACACAGGGATCTCAAGTAACAACGACGACGACGGCAGTGAAAACATCACTGAACAAATGGATTTGCGTCCTTTCAAACTTTATCGCGTTTATTTGAAACCACGCAATTCGTCAAATGTAGGCGAGTTTTCGTGGAGTTGAATTCTTAACGACTTCATCCATGTTCAAATAGAGAGAGGACAATTTCTCGTTGTATGTCCACGCCCTTCACAAAACGCTGCATTGGGAGGTTTCACGTCGTAGTGGTGCAGTGGACGTCAAAGAAATGTACTAAGAAGCGTGATGCACGTGCAGAGCAGTTGTTTTGCTCGTAAAACGAATTGTTTTTTGACGTTGTCGTTGTCGTCGTGGTAGTTGCTTAAGCTCCCTTATGACACAAGGTCGACGGAGGCTTGGGTGGACAACTTCATGCAAATCACTGTATTTTGTTCACCCAAGCCTCGAGTTGGTGCCCTTGGTGGCGTTTGAATGTCGTTTGAGAGGGTCAAACCTTTGTGAACCAATCACCATATGACTGTATTATTTTGTATACAAGAACACATATGCAACAAGACAGCAAGGACATATGGCTGGCTGTGAATCCTTTGCAATTCGGTCATAGTTTGGCCGTTGTCAATGCCACAGAATGAAATAATTTTTAAACGAAGAGCTTACTACCCATACTGCTATGCGGTGTTATTTGGCTTTTCGACCTCGTCAATAACTGATTTCCGAGTTGCCCAAGGTTCAAAGCGAGGCTAAGTGCGAAGCCATTGATATGAAAATTCCTTTTTATTCTCATGCAAATAGGACTCATTATCACATGAAAGTTTTTGCAGTTAGCCTCGTTTTGAAAGTGAAAGATTTTGAAACTCGGAAATAGCCTATTGAAATGGCTGTAGACGAAGAATGTGCAAACGACGGAGGTTGTGGGTCCATTCTCCTTCGCGGTTGAATTGGCAACAAGTGACGGATGACTTTCGGGCTCCGGAAAGTCACTGAAGCTCATCCAGATTAAACTGCAGATACCGTTTTAAGTTTTAAGCGCTGGCCAACATGTACTGTTTTGTAAATATCGTAACCGAGTTAGTTATTCGAGCGTCTGAGTGAACCTTTGAATGCCGTAATTGAAAAAGGAATTTTTTAAAATCAAATTTTCTGGTCTCAAAACGCTGCCAACGTGCATCCCACATTTGATTGCACTTGCCTCGTCCCTAGGCCATGGGGCACCCAACGACTGTTTTCTGTGAAATATTATATTTGTTCGGAAAAGCAAATATTGCCTAGAATTTTTTTATTGCTTGAGGTAAGCTAAAAATTTCTACACAATTGTTGCACTCATGTACAATTTTCGAAGCTTATCTAATAAATTACTTCGATTTCTGAAGTTTAATTATAATTTCACTTCCCAAGCTAGGCTACTTTTTTTTTTTTTTTTTTTTTTTGTAAAGAAAAGGAAACCTAAAATTTTTGGACTCAAAAATGCAATGGAAAGAGAAATCCTGGAAATCAGAAACAGTGTCTCAGTTTAGTAATACTTGAAATTGCATCTAAAAGTTTTGGAAAAATAATACTGAAACCCTTGTAATTTCGAACAGACTGAAGTTCCCCTAGGAAGACCGCACAGAAACAAATTTTAAAGCGCCGCTTAGAATGCATTTCTGAACATCTAAACGTAATCTGGGTAGCCTAAATAGTACTAACAATGTATTTAGAAGGAAACCGTCGTTGGGTGCCCCTGCTGGGCACAGCCTATGCTTTTTTAGTCAAGTAAGAGCGAGAAGGCCTGGTGGACGAGAAGGAAACGCCAGCACTATACGACCACTTGTGAACTGAACATAAGTTTAATTATTTCCTATGTGAGTACCTAAAGTTCGTTATTTTGAAAGTACCAAATTTACATGAAATGCGGCTTGACGATGGGAAGCAGTTTATTTGCCCGTCCATGAGGGCTAAAACACTGGTTTGTTCCTACTCTGGTTTGCCTCTTTTTTCCATTTTTGAACCCCCAATAATACACTCTGTTTGCCCCTCTCCCCACCCCCTTCCCAAATTGGAGGATTGCATATGAGAGCATGTGAAAACAATAACTTAGGCCAAATTTGGGGGACAAACAGAGTGTATTATGGGTTATTCGAAAATAGTCAATGGTTTCTTTGCTAGTAAAGGTCCCGCTCACGGCGAGAGAAAAATGAGAGGAATTATGTTAACTTCCCTTGACTCGCGGGGTGATGGTGTGGGGCGGGATAACAAATTCTCTTTTCCCTTCCCCCCCTACCCGCCCACGGGAACTATAATTATTTCCATGACGACCGACATGGGTTAACTTATCGGCAAGGTTTGAAGAACGTGACTCGGTTTCGCTGAGGACTTCCTTGAGGTCCTTGAGTACTTTGGCCACACCACTAGAGCATCGTTTCTATAAACTGAAAAAAGGAAGGACTTGCTCTTTGGGAGGCTGAGGAAAATCACATCAGTGAAATTAACTGTTCTGGTGCGACGCAATAGGGAAAATGCGTGAGGTAAGCATGTCATTGAAAGAACCAAAGCAGGTGAAAGCTGTGGAAAGTAGACAAAGCGGTGGCACGAGACAGAAAGTTTTGGTCAGACAGCGTGGAGGCCTTGTGTGCCTACTGGCTCGACAAAACTACTGATGATGATGAAGTATGCCACTGCCCTTATTTCTCAATTAATAATTGTTTGTCATTAGCTCTTTGGCGAATCTAACAAATAGGTAAAAACATTAAAGTGTCAATGCTTCTGGATTTCTTTATTCTTTACAGTACTAATACAGATTTAATAGTAGTTTTCAAAGTCCAGATGATCACATGACTCGAGCTTACTGCTGAGCTTTCGGTACTTCTTCAATGAAGATACGATTCATTGAATGCCAACCAGTCTCGCCATCAGCAAGCTTATGACCTGTGACGCACTTTCCAACCCAGAATCCCACTCGCACCTTTCCTTTCTGAATGTTATTGCAGTGACCTTCAATGTGGCGGTGATGGTGAAGATTGTGGTTTCTGCCTGTTTGCATGTAGAATGCACCGTCAATAGTCCCTGGCGAGCTGCACTCGGCTCCATTGAAGCTGAAATACCAGCGACTACAGCAGTTGTCACATGAGGCAATCCTGAGATTACCGGCAAAGTAGACATGGAGGACAGTGTCCGGGTATTTCTTCACAAAGTCACAGTTCTGAACGAGGTATAAAGAATCAGCATGTGTATTGTATTGTATTTTTATTTACTCCATTCTATAAAAGATGTTACATCAGTTGTACATATTTAGACTAATTTAATAATGCAAGGTGTTTTGACAAAAAAAAAAATACATGTACACAAGGTTAGCAATGAAATTAAGATTAGAGAAGTGCACAGTATAGTAAAACTAAAAATGGCCTTTTAACACAATACTATTTAGCGTCAAAAGACGCGGCCATCATCATCGCTGACCGCTGACCAAAGCATTTTGGCAATCAAACGTTTTACTGAAATTACTTGCTTTGAGCTTATAGAATATTACAAAGTGACGTTCCGCACTTACATATATCAGTCCTGATTCTTTGGGGTCCAGTTTTTTCCAAGCACACTCCTTCCAGTTCATGTGTGAAACCAGTTGTGGCGTTCCACCGTCGCCTTTGACCCCTCGCTGTCCTTTTTGTCCAGCGGAACCCTGGATCTCAGGTTCTCCCTCTGCTCCTTTTTTTCCATCAGCACCACGCGCTCCCTGGGTCCCAGTTTTCCCCGGGCTGCCCAGGTCTCCTTTGGCTCCATCTCGACCAGGTGCCCCGGGGGCTCCTGGGATGCATGTCATGTATGTCCACATCCCGGTTTGTCCACCATTTTTACAAGATGGACAAGATTGAACAGGCTGCCAAAAATAGAAAAAGTCAATGACAAACTGCTACTGTAGTAGCTCTTCACGATTTTACCTGTCATCTAGCGTTTCAATCCAAGTTTTAATTGGGGTTTTTTAACGTAATCGTTAATTGTGATTTTGTAAAAAGAAATTTGTTTTCCAGTAAAGAAGCTGTTTTTGTAAAAATGTTAATTTTGATTGTTTAAAACGTGAAAATGTTCTCCCTCTTCTTAGGGAAAGTTCATTTAATATGGCAAGGGGGGGAATGAAGATATTGAGGGGGCTCGAAAATTTTTAGACACCCGAAGGGGGCTCTGAAAAAAATTGTTGCGCTAGGAGGGGGGCTCCGAAAATTTGTATACTTCAAAACCAACACATGACATCATCATACAGATCGGATGGTTTTCAACTCAACAATTTAATGACCTGTGCAACTCAGCTATATCACGTGGTTTACAAATATAACAAATGTAGTCTCAGTAATTATTATACTCTTGTTCATCCCAAAAATGCTTTAGAAAATTGTATCACAACTGTATCTCAAGTTTGTCATAGTATAAACCATTGAAGACAATAACGGTAAATATATTTAATACAGTCTAGCGATCTTTTTTCAGGGGAGCAAAGGAATTGAAGGAGGGGGGGCTCTGAAATTTTTTCAACTACCAAGGAGGGGGCTCCTAAAAAATTGAACCGCTAGCGAGGGGGGCTGCTAAAATTTCAAGCTTCGAGTTTCAATATCTTCATCCCCCCCCCCTTGTCATATTAAATGAACTTTCCCTTAAAACAGTGATCGAGGTTGTACAAGTAATCATACCAAGCATCTTAATTTTTTGTTTGAATTTGGTAGTACTGATTTAGTTAATAAATTAACATATAATACGTCATTCCTAGTTTTCTCTATAAACTAACGTTATTTAACTGTAATAAAAAAATGTGTAGTGTAGTGGCAATATCTGATATATAGTTACCTTGGTGTCTGGTGGTTTGTTGTCCTTAGCAGAGCAGAAACCAGCCGTGAGCGAAAAAATCAGTACAAACAACATGGTGGTCACTTTAACTCGTGATCGCATCATCAAGGTCCTCTAACTTGTGCACGTACAAGAACTGAAGTTTGATCATGATATGAAATATCTTGAGTAGGTCAAACGAAAACCCAATGAACATGATTAACACTTAGCAATTATTGAGTGTGGCTGGGTAGGATCTGAAGAAGTATGCAGATCGAGGAGGATGTTATCCACCGAGGCTGAAGGCTGTAATCCTCCCCCCCTCAAATTCTTCATAACCAACTGGCGCTTACCATATTTGGTATATTGGAATAAAGGCTTCTAGGGCTAGACCATCAAGCTGTTTTTTTTTACGAGTGAACTAAAACAAATGGTGTTTACTGCTAACCAGGGACGAAATAGCTGATTTCTAACTAAATCTCAGTGAACAGAAGTAATACAAGAATGCGCTAAACATATCGCCCTATGAATTTTATAAACTTTCTGAGGAGTATCTGCAACGGACAAACATCTGTTTTTGAAACCGTACCCAGAAATAGGCCAAAAGTTTGAAGAAAGTCTACCATGAGGTAATCTTGTTCAGAACTCAGGAATATTTTGAATGAATAATAATATACTTCATATTTAAGATATGCCTTGGAATGAATGAACGGTTTAAATGCAATGGAATCTCGATGACTGTTACAGAGTCTTTTGAAGTTAACTTACCTTCGTTTTACGATTGCCAAAGCCTAATGATAGCAATGATTATCGTTACCGGTTAATTTATTTCCGCTCTTGCAATAATTACTTAACTTTTCATCTTTTTAAAACAAGTTTCAACGAAATCCGATCCCCCAATCATTACATCTCACGTCTAAACGACGTCGAGCATTTTGATTGGTTCTTTTGGCTTAACATGAGAAATTCGTGTTATGCGTTTTTCAGGAACTGAGTTCCTGTGCGTGCAAATCATCCTTTTGTTCCATGGTCGAGAATCTACCAGCCAAAACATCATTTATTACATTTATTAAAATTTATTACGTGTAAGATCGTTCCCTTGGTATAGCTCAATTTTGTCCTTTGACTGCCTGGTAATCTTTTGTTCCGGTGTTGTAGCTTTACGAGGATGCCGTCACCTCTTCACCTTTTGGTGCTGTGGGAAAAAAAATTAAACCGAGGACAGTGTCCAAGACTGAGTCTTACCATAATATGTTGTTGTTTAAATTAGGATTTTTTTTATTCTATATTACTGTAAACCCAAGCGATGTACAATTTATTAGAAGTTAGTGAAAAACAGGAGAAAAAGAAATTACAATAATTATTACAAGTTCTTCCGTCGTTCATTTCCGTATCCAGAATAAAGCACAGAATTTATCCACATCCAAATTTGAAAATTCTCTTTGCGGAAGTCAACACAACAGTATATCCAAATAAGCAAAGTTGTAATGATTCTGAACTATATTCAGAATTGTTTGAAAAAGACGCTTAACATGAATCATGTTTGATGCTATCATTGGACTCTGAAAATCATTTCTTTTTTTACCATGATAAATAATTGTTAAATACTGCTTATTAACATTTTACCCGCTTAAATTGTTCTGTGCATTATACATTGAAAAGTCATTCTTAATCTGATCCGTGACAAATTACTATGGGCCGGAGGAGGTATAGAAAGCGTGGCGCATATATGATTTACCTTGTTTGCCATATGTATTCATTCCTCACCTGGTGATCTGCCTTCATGAAAGTTATGAGAACTGGAAGAAAGAAGAAATAAAGAAGCATTCAATCAAAAAGCATAATTTAAATAAAGCTGGAGAAAAACAAGAAAGCTTCGAGCACTGTACATACCAAAACTCTGCAAGGGATTGAATCATAGAATTTTCTTGTTTGAATACGTTTCTCGGCGTCAAAACATGCTCACTAAACAGCCTACGTGTGTATTCTAATTTCAATTAAACAATTTCATTCGCCTGCGGAACTATTAGGTTGCTAAGTAACCAATGCACACGACGAAAGGCCTCTTTGCATAATTTTTGAAATACTGTACACATTTGTTTCTTACAGCATCATTTTAACCTACAGTGTACAACTTTTACTAGAAATAAATTGATGTTGTACTTGGATTTTTTTTAATCAAAGTGCGATTATTCATATATAGCCCAAAGTATAACTGTACAATTGAAAGAAAAGTTGCAGTCTGAGATATCGCGAGATGATATCACTTAGAGAAATTATCACCGGCTCCCTAAACTGACCTCGACTTGAAAGAGTGGTAAATTGTTATACTCATTTTCCGTCTTAGTAGCCATTATCCATTCTGGTCCATTCTTATTCCATCCAGTAAATAATCCTAGTGTAATCAGTTAACTTTAGTGATCTTACACAGTCGCTCGATCATTCACCATTTGCTGACGTGTATTAAGCACCGGTTCATGCTAGACTTTTTTATTTCTTCAGAGACACTAAATAATATAGCGGTTTTCTCAGAAAACAAACAGTTTCTGTATTTTCAAAATCCTTAATTCAAGTATTCTGTTAGTTTTTGCTTGTCTTTGAACAACTGTATGGTCAGTTAAGAAATAAGAGCGGCTTTTTTCTGTACGAAGAGCGTGATCTAAACAGGTGCACCCAACGACTGTTTTCTTTAAAGTATCTGTTCTGAGAAGCAAATATTGCGTAGAATGTTCTATTACTTTAGTGCGGCCAAAAATTTATAGGTGAACGTTGCATTCATCATCATAGAGCACAATTTTCGAAGCTTATCTAATAAATTCCGTACGGTTTTTTTGAAGTTTATTTTTTCACATTTCACTTCCTAGGTTAGGCTATTTTTCGTAGAAAAAAGGAAACCTAAAACTTCGGATTAGAAAATATATATGGTGGGGAGAGGAATCAGAAAAATTCTCTGTTACGCGGGTAATCTTTTAGAGGACGGGTATCTTGCAAACTAAACTGAACGCAGGGTTGTCGGAACAGCAACAAGAAGATTTATTCCAAAATGAACGTAGTTTCCACGAAATAAAACTCCACAACAGCACGTAACTCGTTAAACTTACACTTGATAAACTTATACGGCCTCCGCCAACTTGGATAAACACTGCTTTCGTCACACTTGACTAAACACGACTAACGTCGAACTCTCCTCGCTTGTGAAAACTAGTTAAAACTTAACTCGAACTGGCCTACTTATATACTTTTACACTACGATTCTAGAACTTTCCAAATAGTCTAATTATAGAGAGATTACAAAATGTACCGCTTTTAGAAACGCTTACATAAGATCCTAAAATAAACAAACTACGAACTCTCGCGAAGCTTCTAGAAAGTCACCCTAGTCACGCAATACAATTTTTCGTAACATTCTCATTTCCGTCAATGCCTCTAAAATTTTCGGAAAAATAATACTGAAGCCCTTCTAATTTCAAAAAGGTTCAAGTTCCCACACGATGAGCGAACAGATACACAAATTTTCATAGCCCTGCATAGAATGCAATACTCTGGATAGCCTAAAAAGTTTTCAGTCTCAATGGATTTAGGAGGAAATCGTTGTTGGGTTCCCCTGTGTAAAGAACCATTATATTTGTGGAACATATTTATTAAGTTTCCTTTGTAAGTAAGCGACAAATGATTTAACCAAAAAGTCGATTTTGGCTTTGTAGTTCGATAAATTAACAAGCTTGTCGAACTGTAAAGATGAATAAAGCTTAGTTTCAAATCGCTGTATTACTCTACACGTCACTTTTGATTACGGAGCTTATATATGTCGCTGTGTTGAACACATTTTTTTTTGTTATTTTATTGGTCGTGTTAATAATCAGTAGTAGTAGATATCAATTTTCTTTAAATTCACTATTTCGAATTTATCATTCACGACCACCATTATAACCGTTTGCCTGAATAACAATACTGTTGGTTTTGTTGGTCCGCAGAGTCTATTATCCTATTAAAAGTATAATTTTATGACTCAAGTTCGCACAAACGGCTCTGACTCGATACGGCGGGGGTGATTCTCACCTGCCCTACCGACTAGTCCTCGATGTTTGAGATGTGTGTCATTTAGCATTACTCGTAAACCTCTACTGTCCATGGTCATACATGTATCTAGCAAACAAAAATTGAGCAAAATTTGTGGAAAGGATTATCCACAAGCTAGAGTAGATATACATGCTAATAATACATGTAAGATGAGATGATTCCAAAGCAGAAAATTCCAAACGATCCTATAGATCAGATTTGAGTTTGGGATTCTTTTTTCGCCTATTCACTGTTCCTTAATAAATGGTGAAAAGCCTAAATGTTTCATGGAAATTTTCTCCGATCCTCAGAAAATTCCAGGTTCGCTTAAGCTTGAGACACTGTTAGCAGAATCATTCTTCGGGACTGGATATATAGTACTGTTCATTTCTTGCTTACCGTTTGAAATCATGAATGAAAGTCTTAGTTTTGGTTTGGGAGATGACTTCATTTAGCTGCCTATTCACTGTTCTTCTTATTGAATCAACTGTATGAGTTAGCTTTGTAATAGTATTTCACTCTTAATTGTTTAATATTAAGTTCTACAGGTAATCAATTGTGAGAGCTTTAGCACAACGAAATATCTCTGTATTTTCTTCGTAAAGTAAAGAGCTGTTCATTGAAAGCTAATACCCATAACAGACCGAAATTTTGGTAAAATTTCAACAAACTTCTAGTAGGAAAGCTATGTTTTGGAATTGTGTAGCCTAAAAAATAATGAGTTCGAAAATTGCTTTGTAAATTCAATCTAACAATTACTGAAATATCTAGAAAATTTCATCAGTGTATACTGATTTAGAGCTGTGAAAATGTTTTCACGGGTAAAATTTGAAACCGTGACTCGTAGGCGGAAATTTACTGTAATTTTACGCTTCCAAATAATTTGGAAGCATAAAATTACAGTAAATTGCTGAGTACACTGAAACCAGAGCTATTATGGAAATCGCCTTGGAATTCCACGAAACATTGAATATTCACAGACGATTTACTGAGTTATGTATAGGAACTCTTAGGCCCGGTTCAGACGCCGTACTTTTCATGAGCCGAACCTAATACATTGAATTAAG